CTGTACTAGACTGTATCTTTACAACATAATATTACGTCTACAACTTAAATTTTACATCAGTAAAAATTTACAGATACAACTCAACCAATCACCTATTTAATATATAAGTTATTTTGCCGATTTAATTGGCTTTGGATATATAAAAAAAAAACTAACATAGCATGCAAGAAGATGCAAATAAACCTTTTTTTTCTTTCGCCAAACACTAATTAAAACATGTTGAAATGATTTATGTCTTGTAATAGATTATGGATAGTAGGCTTGGAAAAAAGTTTAACAACAAGTTTTCTGGAGTTTAAGAAAGAATAATATGTTTTTTTTTTACTTTATAATATGAATATTTGAAAACAAAATTGAATTATTTGGTTTGATAGGTCAACGTCTTTATTATCAATCAAAAGTTAGTAAGGAACATTAACAACGAAAAGGAAGTTATAAATTAAGCTGTCAATATCAGAAAACAAGTCGACGGTCCAGTTTGATACGTTTCATTATAATTACTTATGAAAATGATTATAAATTATTTAAGTATTTTAGAAAATGATTAATAAATGAAACCTTAGTTAATCAGAGTATAGTTTTTCAATTTAATTATGAGTTTAGAAAACAAATGTTATTGACAATTACTTCTATTTTTTTTAATTACACTTGGGTTTGTAATTATTATTTCGTATACCTAACTCTAATGTATTTTTTTAATTAAATTCGGTGTAAATACAGCTTTACGATATTGTGCATTCATAATTTTACGTGGTTTTTTTTGTATAGGAGCAATTGCAAAAATATCATTTTTAGTGTGTACATTTGCAAAAATGCTATTTAGGAGTGTCAATTTACAAAAATACCACTAATTATAGATTTTTAAAACTTAAATATTAAAATTATAAACCCTAAGAAATGTTTTGACCCCTAAAATTTTTTAAACCCTTCAAAATAAACCCTAATACAACATAGTTAACCCAAACATAAACGATATAATGAATTTTATTTTTGAAAACATGGCATTTTTGCAAATATTTTGAAAATATGGCATTTTTGAAAAATAGCATTTGGATAGCATTTTTAAAAATTTATCTTTTGTATTTTTGCATTGCTAAAAAAGAAAAGAACATTGAAAGATGGTTCAGCTCATTTTCTTTTATAAAAAAGAAACAAAATATCCTCTATATATTAAAAGAAAAACATTTTGGATACATTTTGATGATGTGTCAAGTTCTCAATTTTTTTCAATTTTTTTATTTAATAAAATTTATCTATTATTAAAAGATAATATACTATTAACTAAACACTTTACAATGACACTATCGCTACATCCAAACATAGTTAGAAAACATATCTTTACATATTTTTAAAGATTTTCACGAGCATTGTTTATCTATAGCAAAAATGTTTAATTCTTTATTTTCGTAACAAACTAATAATTAATTATACTATAATTGTGCTTTCAAAAATTTTCCAATTGAAGATACTCATAGATCTTTTTATTTACACATAAAAAATCAAAAACTTTGCATATCGTGAATCGTGTGATTTATTTTCTCACCAAG